TCTCTCTCTCTCTCTCTCTCTCTCTCTCTCTCTCTCTCTCTCTCTCTCTCTCTCTCTCTCGCTTTCGTTCCCTCTACGCTTCTCGTTACGCCGTTCCTCTATCTTACATCATTTTCTGAGGATTCCCTCTCTATTCATCCGTCACACCAGTTCCCCACTCTCGCTCTGCGCCATTTCCGTCCCGATCCCTCGACCTTCCCGGCCGAATCTACCCCTCTCCCCGCGGCGGGTTCGCATGTATCCTGTCTCCCCGCTGTGCCGCAGTGGTATACGCAGCCAGTCCGCCTCTCCTATCGGAAGGGGCGGCACGCAGCCCATCTCTCTATATATTGGTGTAGCAGTATCCGCGTCAGAATAAGACAATGCTCACACCAGCTCGACGATCGAACCAGTTGCAGGGAGTATTTACGACAGTCTCCCGTTCAATGTAAGTTTCATCGCTATTACAGGAGCTCTCTGCCAATACATGGCTGTCAGTCAACATCCTGGCCGGTACGGAGGCCTCCTTGCCGGTTCGGTAGCTTCCAGGACCGACAGGGCAGTTGTCTGGGACAGTGCGGAAGTCAGTTTGTATACGGGCCCGAGAAGCAGATCGCTTGGCCAGCACGGCAGCTCTCTGAGCAGTATGGTTGTCAGTTTGTCTCTGGACCGTTACAGTGGCTCTCCGCGTCTGTCTTTGAACCCAGTGCAGTGTGGCAGCTCACCGGGTGCCGGTCCGCGGGTGCAGCAGCCTCCTCAGCCAGCTCTGCAGCCGGTCAGCCTCCCCGCCAGTAGCAGCTCGCAGGGTGCCGGTGCGGCAGTCTCTCCTTAGCCAGGTCTGTCTTCCTGCCGATGTAGCTCGCCGCGGCCGCCGGTGTAGCATGGTCTCTCCTTAGCCATCTCTGCAGCCGGTCTGTCTTCCTGCCGATGTAACAGCCCGCCGCGGCCGCCGGTGCAGCCATCCATCCGTCTCCCTCTGGTCGTGGCCGTGTCACATCTGGTCGATAGCCCGCGGCCGTCATTAGCTGTAATTAAGGCGCCAGCCCGGCCGCTGTGGTCGACGACGTCGGCGTCGCCCGGTGAACAGGGGTCAACGCGAGGAGGTCACCCACTGACCCGTCAGAGATGCGGGCGAGGGGTGCGCGCGGAAAGATCATGCCTTCCAAGTTCCAGCAGCCGTCTGTGTTTGTCGCGCCGAGTCCCACCAGCCGTATGTGGCTAGTGCTCCCGCCAGCTGTCTGTAGAGTTTCCCACAGTCCCCCACCAGCCGTCTATGGCTAGTGTCCCGCCAGCCGTCTGTTGGTGTCCCACCAGCCGCGCTATGGTGGCCCGCCGTCTGAATGCCGTGATCGGCGGCACGGCTGGCCGCAGTCGTGCCGACTTTGCAGCGCAATATATCAGCTGGGAGGAGGCGGCCGGCCGGTGTCGCGGCCAGCGGGCGTGTCATCGTCATGCTGCGGGCCGCAGTCGCTGCCAAACGGACCCGACCCGGCCGGGGAGGGAGAGGTCACCACTGCTCTACCACCCGAGTCGTCGCGCCCGAACGGCGGCGACTAGATCCCGGGAGATTGGCGAGGAAATGTAGCAACAGTGAGGCAAAGTGGTCCGGGGATTTGAGGATTCAGGAACGAACAGACGATTTATGTGCTTGTTCTTGCCAGGCTTGCCTGCTGTTTGGTTGTGTAGGAAAAACACATGAAGGCGCCGCTATTGCAGCTAATTAGCGACTTTTCGGGTGAGTACCTGAAGGGGAGCCAGCCTGTTCGCTAATGAAAATGAAGACGCCAGGCCAGCTTCAAACGTTCTTAGTTTGATAGCATTCTCAAAAGTATTGGGGGTGCGTGCTTATCAAGTAATACAGTGCGCGCGCCGCGCAAAGTCCCACGTCAGCAATCAACATGACAAAATTTCCTTCCCAAATATTGCTGAGTAAGATTACCTTCACAATGCATAAAACGATAAAACTGCCTTCTCATGCAGCTGGTTGTCGTCACGCATAGCCAGACATATTGAGGAGACTTCTGAGAAGTGTCAACCGATGCGATATGTGGCTTTTCTGTGTGGACTGGGCCGATATGGTGACCTGTGTGCTGTAAAGCCGATACTGTGACCTGCATAGTGTAATTCTCTATGTAGTGTAGTGTGGCGCCGGTACGGTGACTTCTGTGTAGTGCCGATATAGTGACATCTGTGTAATGTAGTGTCAATACGATGTAGTGAAGTGCTGATACGGTGACCACTGTGTAGAAGTTATAGTGCCGATACGGTGACCTCTTTGTGCTCCTAGTGCCGATGCGGTGACCTCTGTGTGGTGCCGCCCGATATCGTGGCCTCAGTGTGGACGGACCGGCCGCGGCGCGGCGGATCGATGACCCGTCGGCGGCTTCCGATGAGGCCGAGCCGGTGAGCTCGTGGCGTGCCGATCGCTCGTCAACATCCCGCCGGGCAGCTCAACACGGCCCCGCTGCCCCGACCCGAGACGCTCCGCGCAGAGCTGCCCTCCACCGCCGACCGGCGCACAGCGGGGTCAGCCCCGGCGACAGACAGCAGCTCAACTCAGCGCGGCCGACGCTATCGACCGGTTTCCGCCCACATAACGCAGGGCTCCGTAGTCCGTCCACCGCCTAACAACAGTCCGCGGTCCATGGCTCAACCACAGCCCAGCGCCTGGGTCTACATACCAACTGTCCAGCCCACAGCTCGCCCAAATATCCACACGGCCGGCGCCCACAGCCCCGGTTCGCTACTCGCCCCACATTTCTGACGGATGGCGCAGATAACGTTGAACTCGAAGTCAGTTTCCCAAAGACGGCCACACCGATCTGACTCATCTTCCGGAACGGAGAACGGTGCAAAAGACTTCCCGGCCTGACACTGGTGCCGCCCTGAGGAAAGGAACCGGCCAACCGGTCGACCCTTCCCCTCATTATGTATTCAACGAATTAAATATTGATAATCGAGCAGGGACTTCATAAGTTCCAAGGCATGCATTGCATACATCGCGGTCCATACGCATCCTAATGAATTAGGACCATGATACGAGTAATACCAGGCCACTGCAGAACAAAAATTAGAAGGGTTTATAAATTATGTTCAGCCGACATATTTTCGTCGTACTTAAATTATAGGTAATAACACCATTGCTAACACCTGCTTTCGTTCTGCTTCTCGAACCTTTCTGAGGCAAGTATTCCAAGTGCCGCAAGTGCTATTATAGCCAAATTTGCGTGTTTTTCATCCTCTTGTGCCCCAATGAAAAGACCACCGATACCATAACATCTAATGCGTGACGCTAACCCCCTCTAGCATCCCCCATTTCCGCATTACTGAGCGCGCGCTACGCGGTCGGTAATGAACCTGGAATTAGCCCAATGGTAAACAAGACTGATTTGGCCCAAATTACGCGGGCCTATTTGTTTTTCACTTAGCCCGGGGAGCAGCCTGGTCGGCCCCCTGGTGACGGTGGGGAAGGAGAGGGGGACATGGCAGCAGCGTGCCCTGAGACAGCGGGATGCGGGGAACTGCCCAGCTCGTGTGACACTGCGCGGTTGGTGGTCCCTGGTCTGAGGTGACGCTGTCGGTTGGTGGTCCCTGGTCTGAGGTGACGCTGTCGGTTGGTGGTCCCTGGTCTGAGGTGACGCTGTCGGTTGGTGGTCCGAAGTTCGCGGTGACACAGAGACGGTTGGTGGTCCGTGACTCATGTTGTCTGGCGTCGGTGTTCTCAGTCCGTGAAGTCGATGATGTGATAAAAGCTTTTTTCAAATGTTTTGGAGATATAGATGTGGAAAGATGATGGAGAGGATGCGTTGAAAATGAGGCGTTATGCTTTATCATTGTGTAACTATATGTCAAATAATCAAGCCATTCCTGAATGTAGCCCATTACGACCATCACTCATCAGATCTCCCTACTGAATTACTCAATAGAAGACATTGTTTTACAAATTAACAACACCTACGAAATATTTTTTGTCGGTGCTTAAATGCCCAGTGCCCATATATTACAGCGCCTCTGAGTCAATTCAGCTGACGCCAAATAGCAGCTATAGTGATTATAAGCAGAATTTCAAACATGAAACATCAATAGCTCGCAAATACTAAACCAAGCCTTTTTCAATTAGGCATACCTATTCGAGAGAACCTGTCCGGTGAATGCGTGAAAAAGTAACACTAAACAGTTTCATTGCGATTAGTAGGTACGTTGAGTTTCCCGTCGTCTATTGCTCTACAAATGTTGTCTTTCTGTTTCACATCACATGGCGAATCTAGTATCAACTAAACTGCGATTAAATATACAGTCCTTGGAGCGGCCGTGGCGGCTCTGCTGGGCCCCGGAGGCCGTCCTGCGCCAGCGGAGGGCCGCGCTCCGCCGGCTGCCAGTGTTTGCTGCCTGACTACACTGTTTATCCTGTGCTGACAGAGCACGTCTCCGAGAGCAGAGCTCTTCTCCCTGCCTCAACCATCCCCTCCTCTTCCATCTCTGTACCTCATCTCCTCGCTCTCCCACGCTCTCTCTCTCTCTCTCTCTCTCTCTCTCTCTCTCTCTCTCTCTCTCTCTCTCTCTCTCTCTCTCTCTCTCTCTCTCTCTCTCTCTCTCTCTCTCTCTCTATCTCTCTCCCTCTCTATCTCTCTATCTCTCTATCTCTCTCTCCCTCTCTCTCTTCCTACATCCCTCTTCTGTTCTTGATGTCCATTTTTTCTTAAATTTCTTTCAGCTTGTCTAGTCTTTTATTATATAGTAAAGTAAATCAATTAGAATATATGCCCTGGCAATGATTTTAGCAAGTTAAAAATTGCTTGTAAGCCTGGCTTGTAATAAGCTTGCAATGCCTAAATTGACGGGTGAATTCCACTTCTGCACGGACGATATAAGGTATGTTATGTAACCTACGTAAATAGGCATTGCCAGCAGACTGCGATCAGCAATGGATTAACTACAGAAGAGCTGCTGCTTTCGGATGTGCCTCCACTTAGCGAAGTGGGAGCCGCGGGAAGGCGCCAGCGCCCACGCATTGTACTCACCCGAGAGTGGTCATTGTGACGATCGTGTACCAGAAGGACGCCGGAATGGACGTGAACGTCGAGCCCTTAACCTTCTTCTCGGCGTAGAACATGACGGTGGCGAAAATGATGATGGCCATGGCGAGCGAGAACACCAGGAAGCCCAGCTCCTTGGCGCACGACTTGAGCGTGTAGCCGAGGATGCGCAGCCCCTGGGAATGACGCGAGAATTTGAAGATCCGACAGACGCGGAACACCCGGAGCGTGACGAACGCGCCCGACACGTCGTCGTTATCGGTGATGCCCAGTCCGATGTAGTAGGGCAGGATGGCCACCACGTCGATGATGCTCATCACGCTGCGCACGAACTTGCAGCGATCGGGCGCGGCGAACAGTCGCAGCAGGTACTCGGCCGTGAAGATCATCACGCACGCCGTGTCCAGGCAGAAGAAAATCACCTCGTACCGCTCACCGCACGGCAGCACCTCGTTCTTGCCCGGCAGTTTGCCGCACTCGACTGTCTCTACTACGTTGGCCAACACAGACACGGCGATAAAGAATCCGGTCACATAATAAAACACGAGCGCCGCAGTAGACGTGTGAGGGTTCTCGAACGCCCGCCACATCTTTTCACGCAAATTAGTGAGTTTGATGAGGTTACCGTCCCCGTTCTCCGACATTTTGTCGTCTAGGAGACGCTCAGCATTCTCGCGCTTCCTGTCACGGTAGTCCTCGTAACAGCAGTCGCCGATCACGTCTGGAATAATGCCAAAGAAGGAGAGCTCCTCGTCGTAGCTCGTGAGACACTCGTGTTTCGGGTAGTGTAGCTTCCCGGTGCGGTAATAGTTGAGGATGTGCCGGAATATGTCCGGATCCCGGTCGAAAAAGTACTCCTTCGTGTCTTCATCGTAGAAGAAGTCTCGCTCATTTGATCCGAGCAGCGTGTCGGGGTATTTCTCGACCGTGTTGCGCCACGTCTCGAACTTTCTGCCAGACACGTTGATGACCAGCTTCTCGTCGTCCGCGCGCCGCTTGTCTTTGGGGATGGGCGGCGCTGGCAGCGGGTTGTTGGCAATCGGCACCCATCCGATGGCCGCTGCCCGAGCGAACGGTAGCCACGCTGCCACGGACGCCATCGCGCTGCGTCGTCACCGGTCACCGACGTGTCACTACGCACTCGACCTACATGCTCGTCGGACGGCCGGGACCACTCGCTACTCGCGGCGCACTCCGCCGCCCTGACGCGCCCGTCGGCTACTGAGCACCACCGACGTCACGGCGCCGTCGGCTGCGCCGCGCCGCGCCGCGTCGGCGTCGGCGGCCGGCCGTGGCGGCGCACCAGCTCGCCGGCCGCGATTGATTGGCGTCACTGCAGTGCCGTATTTGCCAATGTCTCGAGCGGCTATGGCGTCTGGCGGCGACTGCCGATCCCGGCTGCAGGTGGCGCTCTCGGCTGCCTCTGTGCGTGCTCTGACCGGACGCGGTCCGGTGACGAATCTGGCGGCCGGCCCGCACATCCGTACCGCAGCGCGCGCAGGTGCCACGAGCGGCACCGCGGCAACTAAAAATAGCCGGCCGGCCGCCCCATCACGGACACCGGCCACGGCCACCCGCGGCACATCGGCACTGGCAACGCCAAACATTTGCGCCTTCTAGGCACCTGCCTGTATTTGTTTATGGTGCAGGTGGCGACTGCGGCGGCGGCGACGGCTTGGCCTCGGCGCATTTTCGGCTGCCGGAGAGGCGGTCTCAAACAGGTGGCCGGTCCCACGCGGGTGGCCGGACAGGGACGGCGTTCGCTGCTCGGCGCTCGGTGTCCGGCCGCCGCGGCACCACCGGCACAGGGTCAGCCTTGATGGCCGCGCGCTCCGCGTGCCGGACACGCTCCGGACCGTCACTGAGCCGGCCAGCTCACAGCCGGGGGACCGCCGCCGGAGCCGGGGCCGGGTGACCGCGGTACGCCGGGTGAGGCCAGGGCTGTGGCAGGAGAGCAGTTCCGGCGGTCCCGCACTACTGGCTGGTGCAGCGCTGTGCCAGGTATGCTGTCGGATGGCGCGGCGGGTCGGTTCTCCTCCACCGACCGACTGACGTTATGGAACGGTAGCTATATGACCTACCATAACGTCATAAAGACGTCATTTATGGCCGACGTCATGCCAGCAGTTTGGTTTCGCCATAGATAGCTAACTGCACTATGCCGACAGCAGCATCTTAACATCAGGTAATATTGACATTTTTACTTCAGAGGGAGTGTGTATCGGATGGTCCAGCTTTCTCTCATGCTTCTAGCAGATAATTGGCCTGCTTTTCAGGGCCTCCTCTAACATACCCACTGGGTGGGCAAATGCCCACCCAGTCACCACAATTGCCCACCCAGTGGCGTCGATTTGCCCACCCAGTGGTGTCGATTTGCCCACCCAGAAGCAAATGTAAAAATAAAGGTCCGACCGGTGAGGCTTGTAAATTAGGAGCTCTAACTCGCTGTTGCATCTATAAGCCCAGGTAGCATCCCTCTCACGGCATTGGGTTTTAATCGGTATTTGTAAAAAAGTAATTGTCTCGTGAGTGAATAGGCATGTACAATGATGTCCGTCAAGACAGCCCATATTCAGCCCAGATTCGGGACACCTCCGATCAAGCTGAAACTCGCATACAATGTAGGTCATGACATGTCCAATCCACATTCCGAGTCATTAGGCGGCACTCCCAGCTGTTTGACCTACAGAGGTCAGCAAAGGTCACGTGGCCCAAATTTGCACAGCAGATTGTGGCCCACCCAGTAGAGCTAGAGCGCTAAACATGGCACCAATCGACTCGCCAGCATCTAATCATACTTTCCCAACAGTCATTTGACCTCTCAAGGTCATGCGATGACCTAAGGTCATTTGTGGGCTATGTCGAAAATACATTTGCACAGCAGTTTTCGAGTAGAGGGATTGACCGAATTCCGAATCAAAGCACATCATCGGGTAGCCCATAGGCCGTAGTAACTTTCCTTCAAAACCGCTTCTCGATATGTGACTCCGTTTGACCTCCGCAGGTCAAAATGTACAAATAAACGACACTCCATACGTCGCAGCCCGGATTCAGCCCAGATTCGGGACATCTCCGATCAAGCTGAAACTCGCATACGATATAGGTCCTGACATGCCCAATCCACATTCCGAGTCATTCGGCGGCACTCCCAGCCGTTTGACCCACAGAGGTCAGCAAAGGTCACGTGGCCCAAATTTGCACAGCAGATTGTGGCCCACCCAGTACAGCTAGAGCGCTAAACATGGCACCAATCGACTCGCCATCATCTCATCCTACTTTCCCAACACTCATTTGACCTCTCAAGGTCATGCAATGACCTAAGGTCATTTGTGGGTTATGTCAAAAATACACTTGTACAGCAGTTTTCGAGTAGAGGGATTGACCGAATTCCAAATCAAAGCACATCATTGGCCCATGGGCCCATTGATGGGCCCATGGGCCGTAGTAACTTTCCTTCAAAACCGCTTCTCGATATGTGACCCCGTTTGACCTCGGCAGGTCAAAATGTACAAATAAACGACACTCCATACGTCGCAGCCCGGATTCAGCCCAGATTCGGGACATCTCCGATCAAGCTGAAACTCGCACACAATGTAGGCCATGACATGTCCAATCCACATTCCGAGTTATTCGGTGGCACTCCCAGCCGTTTGACCTACAGAGGTCAGCAAAGGTTGCACAGCAGATTGTGGCCCACCCAGTAGAGCTAGAGCGCTAAAAATGGCACCGACGTATGGAGTGTCGTTTATTTGTACGTTTTGACCTGCCGAGGTCAAACGGGGTCACATATCGAGAAGCGGTTTTTAAGGAAAGTTACTACGGCCTATGGCCCAAATTTGCACAGCAGATTGTGGCCCACCCAGATTGTGCTTTGATTTGGAATTCGGTCAATCCCTCTACTCGAAAACTGCTGTGCAAATGTATTTTCGACATAGCCCACAAATGACCTTAGGTCATCGCATGACCTTGAGAGGTCAAATGAGTGTTGGGAAAGTATGATTAGATGCTGGCGAGTCGATTGGTGCCATTTGTAGCGCTCTAGCTCTACTGGGTGGGCCACAATCTGCTGTGCAAATTTGGGCCACGTGACCCTTGCTGACCTCTGTAGGTCAAACGGCTGGGAGTGCCGCCGAATGACTCGGAATGTGGATTGGGCATGTCAGAACCTACATTGTATGCGAGTTTCAGCTTGATCGGAGATGTCCCGAATCTGGGCTGAATCCGGGCTGCGACGTATGGAGTCTCGTTTATTTGTACATTTTGACCTGCCGAGGTCAAACGGGGTCTTTTATCGAGAAGCGGTTTTTAAGGAAAGTTATTACGGCCCAAGGGCTACCCGATGATGTGCTTTGATTTGGAATTCGGTCAATCCCTCTACTCAAAAACAGATGTGCAAGTGTATTTTCGACATAGCCCACAAATGACCTTAGGTCATCGCATGACCTTGAGAGGTCAAATGAGTGTTTGGGAAGTAAGATTAGATGCAGGCGAGTCGATTGGTGCCATTTTGAGCGCTCTAGCTGTACTGGGTGGGCCACAATCTGCTGTGCAAATTTGGGCCGCGTGACCTTTGCTGACCTCTGTAGGTCAAACGGCTGGGAGTGCCGCCGAATGACTTGGACTGTGGATTGGGCATGTCATGGCCTACATTGTGTGCGAGTTTCAGCTTGATCGGAGGTGTCCCGAATCTGGGCTGAATATGGGCTGTCTTGATCAGCATATGTACAATGTACATGTAATATGGAACGAATAGACGTCACGAGCATCGCTAACTATAACCCTAGCCGTCACAGGGGGCGGGGTGATGCAACCCTCTATGTTTCTTTTTTCGCAAATAAATCGCGTAAAAAGCGGCCGATCGCGACGAAACTTGCAGTACCTTCGAGTTATTCAATTCATACACCTACCCTGAAAATTTCATGATCCTGACCCAAATGACCTTTGACCTGTGACCTGCTTTTCGAGACAATTTTTGGCCGGAATCGCGATTCGGCGTATGTCGGCTCGCATTACCGCGCGTTTGCAGTCTTTTCTTGGTTTCAGGCTTTCAAACATGTGATGATGTTGGTCTCATGCATTAGGTTGGATGTCAAGCCTCAAGGTCACCTGAAGGTCAGGTCAGGTTATTGACCTCTGATGACCTCGGTTCACTTTTTCGAATTTTATATGTTTCTCGGCTAGTTTTTGGAGCTGAATTCGAATTAGGCAACCATTTGAACATTTACGAAGTAGTTTTGGTGCCTTCGTAATATGTTACGAAGCTGTCAGAGGCTTTTGACACGTACTACGAATACCCGGCAGGACCCCTACTGGTTGACCTGAACTGACCTGACCCGACCTGGCCTAAATGCATGAAGATATTGTAGCGAGGGGATTTAGAAAAGAAAGAAAAAAAGAAGGAATAAAAAAAGCTGCATCTTCTTTGCGGTTCATCAAATACTGCGGTCCTCTGTCATTCAGCTGGTTGTAGCAGAGAGAATAATTCGCTGCTGTAATGCTGTCGGTAGTAGAGCTGGTGATACAGGGGAACCTGAGAGTCGTTGAAGAGATCCCGAGATAGATCTATAGAGAGATCCAGATAGTGATGAGATCCTGAGATAGATGTAGGTATCCTTATAGGGATCTGGATACAGATAGAGATGAAGATGAGATCCTGAGAAAGATCTTGGGATGACGTCCACCTGGGAGAGATGTAGATATAGATCCACCTTGCGTACAAATACATCTGATGGAAGATGCTTTTTAATTTAGAGGCTTGATGATTCTGTTCATTGTATAGACCATGATGCACGAGATGCTTCTTCACTGCTCGGATTTGGGATAGAGGGATCCGATCAGCTGGGTTTGCGGCACAGTTGGGCAGGTGAAGGACAGGGCATTCGAAGTCCCGATGACCACTGCCAAACATATGGGTGGTAATTACATTGATAAATTGAATGTGATCATTTGTCCAGTCACCCATTCCTATACTGGCCTTCCCATTAAGAAAATTGCCCACTTAATTCGTATTAGCGTTGCTAGTTTTAACTGCCCTCGAGAATCATTTGTTCGACTGCCGTAACCGAATTCTATCAAATTCCTATCGGCCTTATTCTAAGATTCATGCGTCGTCATTCTCACACCCTTGCTCGCATTACGTTTGCATTTCATGTATTCACCCAAATTTAATTGATAGCCCCCGAAATTCCCTCCGATAGTGTTAGGCGTCTTACAAACCAGGGTCTCCCCGGCGAGATAAATGTCTCATTCCGAAATCCATATGCATGCTCCGCTAACCGGCGACTAAGATACTTATCGCAGGGCCGTCCAGAATAATT